AAAAAAGTTTAAGATTTTGGTTCTTTCTCCATCTTTAACCTTCTTGATCTAAGAGTCGCTTTCGATACTGCCAATCACAACTGTCTTGAAATAGTTTTTGGTGTTTCTGAGACTGTTTTAACCTGGTTTCGATCTTATATCTCTGTTTGCCGCCAGTTTGTTTTAATGAGTCTGAATTAGCACTGTCCCTACTGGTGTCCCCCAGGGTTTAATTTTAGGCCCCTTACTTGTTAGCATTTAAATATTTCCTCTTTGGTTGATCGTAAGATCACCCAGGCTTAATTATCACTTTTACACAGACTATACTCAGATTTATGTCCACTCAAAGCCTGGTCAAAATGTGGATGTTTCTTTTCTCTCACACTGCATTTCTGAGATAAAAAATATTTAAGACCTAACATTTTCTGACTCATAAGACTGAGGTTATGCTCATTGGCTCTCTTCCTCGTCAGCTCTGTAATGCTAACGTGGATGGCTCTGTTTTGGAGTTTCAAAATAAATAAAAAAAATTAGGAATTATACTTGACTCGAGTTTGTCTTTTGATCCACATGTGCAAAATTAAGACTTCCTTTTTTTATCTCAGAAATATTGCTAGACTACGCCCTATGCTATCCTTTACTGTGGCTGAAAGGCTTATCAATACTTTTGTTCCCTTTCGTTGTCACTCCGAGTTATGTCGGATGACGACAAATTGGGTTTCGCTTAGAAAGCCTATCGACTTCGAGTATTACAAAACGAGCCAATGGCAAAGAAATGCCATGGGTCTGCGGAATTTGCATGGCGCAACTCCGCCCCACCTCGTGGATATAAAAGGAGGACGCCGGCAATATGCAGATATGTTTTTCGCTTCGGAGCCAAGAGTTTCTCTTCACTCCACAGCCATTTCTGACTTCACTCTATGAGACGAGCGACTCTCCGGTGTTGGTGTGACAGCGATCTCCAGCGAGTTCACACTGCCTGCTGATCTGTGCAGTGATCTGCCTGAGTGTGTTTCTCCCTGCTCGCTTCAGCATCTGCAGAGTTTTTTCCCCTCACAAAAGAGCTCGCACGAGTTTTTGGTCTTTTTAAAGACGGCTCGCCCGTGCATTTCTGGTTGCGGTTGATTCATTTCTGACTCTGATGGGCGCATTCTCTGCTCTGCGTGTTCGGGCATTGATCACGCTAGAGCAGCGTTTGTGGATGACTCATGTTCTCTCTGCGGAAACATGAGCATCGCGTCATTACGGTCGAGACTCAATGATCTCGTTAAAGAGAGACTCCCCTCATCCACACCCCGATCTACACCCTCCACGAGAGGTGGTACTTCGGGTGAGAGTGTGGAACAAAACGCCGTCTGTTTGTCTGTGGACCACGCCCCCCTCTTCAGTGACGCAACCCGCGAATGTTCAGGGGATTCCCCAGGGTCTATTTTTGGATGCCCCGCGGGTTTCCCTTGACGCTCCAGATTCGGATCTGATGTCCATCGCAGCATCACAGGGCGGGCTAGAATCTTCAGGAAGTGAAGATTCGACAGTGCTGCCACCTTCGGGTGTGCATATGGCATTTGTCGAGTCTGATCCAGAGATGATGGCCATGCTTTTCCGGGCGGCCGCGAGCATCGGTTTAGAGTGGAACCCTCCACCCTGTCCCGAGCGCTCGCGGCTGGACGATTGGTCTTTGGGTGCGGCCTCCGACCCTCGTCCGCAGCCAACCCCAATACCTTTCTTCCTGGACGTGCATGATGAGATCTCGAAGTCCTGGAAGACCCCCTTGTCTTCTTGGGACCACTCGTTGATCTCATCCACCTTTCCTCCCCTCGACGGGGCCGTTGCCCATGGGTACACTGGGGTTCCCCCGGTTGAACGCTCTGTTGCGATGCTACTGTGTCCTCAGAGTGCTTCTTCTCGGCGCGACCCTAAGCACTCGTCCGAAGCCTGTAGTTTTTCATCTACGCTTGTGGCGAAATCCGATAGAGCCGCAGGACAGGAAGCCGCCTCACTGCATGCCATGGCCATTCTGCTGGTCTACCAGGCCCAGATGCTCAGGGACATGCACGAGGGCAGGACTGACCCAGGGCTCTTTAATGAGCTGCGCGCCGCCACTGACCTTGCTCTCCGAGCGACGAAAGTGGCCGCACGCTCCGTGGGTCAGGTGATGTCCACCAATGTGGTCCAGGAATGACACCTGTGGCTGAACCTAGCTGATGTGCGGGGTGCTGACCGGACTCGTCTGCTCGACACCCCCATATCCCAGGCGGTGGTGCGGTTGAGGACTTTGCGCAACCAAAATGACCTGCTCCTCGTCCTCCCTGACTTTTTGCAGGGTCTGCACAAGAAGGCTCACTGGGGGAAACGCATATTTGCGGCCCCACGGCCAGCTGTGCGCCAGTGCATCCGTGCCGAGCGTGCCTTCGGTCAGGGAATAATACAGGGCGCAATGGGTCGAGTCGTGAGAGGCAAACAGATCTATCTGTGCGTCCCCGAACTGGTCCCAAATCAGCTGAACCGACTGGGGATGGAGTCGCCATTCTCCCTGGCCAATTCCTCCGAGGAAGGACCTCCTTTCTCAGGGACGGGGCACCCTATGGCACCCTCGTCCCGATCTTTGGAACCTCCACGTGTGGCTCCTGGATGGGACGAGGCAGGTTTGAGTACCCTACCACCAGCGGTGGTGGCTACCATCACTTCCGCTAGAGCGTCGTCCACGAGACACGCCTACCAAGAAGACCCCCGGAGATGTTCAATCGGTGTCGTGCTTTCCTTCCTTCAAGATGGGTTGGAGCGAAGGCTGTCTCCCTCCTCCCTCAAAGTATACGTTTCCGCTATTGCCGCACACCATGATACAGTGGAAGGTAAGTCCGTAGGGAAGCACGACCTGATCGTCAGGTTCCTGAGGGGAGCGAGGAGACTGAATCCTCCTCGCCCTCCTCTCGTTCCCTCTTGGGACCTCTCAGTGGTTTTAACTGCCCTACAGAGTGCTCCCTTTGAGCCTCTGCAATCAGTGGAGATTCAATTCCTGTCTATGAAGACAGCTCTGCTGGTTGCACTGGCCTCTATCAAGAGGGTAGGGGACCTGCATGCATTCTCCGTTGACGAAGCGTGCCTGGAATTCGGGCTGGCTTACTCTCACGTGATCCTGAGACCCCGGCCTGGATATGTGCCCAAGGTTCCCACCACTCCCTTCCGGGACCAGTTGGTGAACCTGCAAGCGCTGCCCCTGGAGGAGGCAGACCCAGCCTTGGCACTGCTCTGTCCAGTACGCGCCCTCCGCGCCTATGTAGACAGATCGCAGTGTTTCAGGACCTCAGATCAGCTCTTTTTCTGTTATGGTGGGAAGCTGAAGGGAAAGGCTTTCTCCAAGCAAAGGTTGTCTCACTGGATAGTGGACGCCAGTGCTTTGGCATACCAGCAGCAAGGTCGACCGAGCCCCCTTGGTGTAACTGCCCACTCCACCCGGAGTGTGGCGTCCTCTTGGACTCTAGCGCATGGCGCCTCGCTAACAGACATCTGCAGAGCTGCAGGCTGGGCGACACCCAACACATTCGCCAGATTCTACAATCTCCGAGTGGAGCCTGTGTCTTTGCTTGCTCGCCATTCCACTCCAAGGACTGGATACGTGTGACATTTTCCTCAGGTGAGCTTCCCCCTCAAGCCCTGAGTTTCTCCAGCATGCTGACGTCGACGCCAGTGTCTATTGCCTGTACGTTGGCTAGGTGCCTCCAGTGTGCCACCCCCCCCCCCCCCCTCCTCCTCCCCTCCCCCCTCCTCCTCCCCTCCCCCTCCCCCTCCTTTTATACCCACGAGGTGGGGCGGAGTTGCACTATGCAAATTCCGCAGACCCATGGCATTTCTTTGCTATTGGCTCGTTTTGTAATACTCGAAGTCGATAGGCTTTCTAAGCGAAACCCCATTCGTCGTCATCCGACGTAACGTCTCCGTTCCCTACTCAGGGAACGAGGGTTACATACGTAACCAAGACATTTTTTCTAGCATTGACTACTACAACGCACTTCTTGCAGGGGTCCCTAAAACAACACTTAACAAATCGCCATGTGTGCAAAATTCAGCAGCTATGATCCTGGCTGGAGTCAGGACAAATGCGCATATCACTCCATTTTGAAGTCCTTGCACTGGCCCCTGGTCAGGTTCCATGTTGATTTTAAAATTTGTATGCTTGCATATAAGGCATTGCATGGTCTAGGCTGCCCCTCTGTCTCATTTTATGAAAAAGTGAAAAAAAATGTCAAATGACGGACTACATTGTGTACTTTAACCTAGTAAATTTCAGATATGTACTGAGAAGGGCTTTTCATTATCAAATGTGTCCCCATTGATAAGCAAAAACAGTATGACATGATAAACAAATAGGCCTTTGTTAATTCCAATACAAATACTTTACTGCCACCACTCCTCCGTCGAACATGTGGGCATTTCGGGCTTTGAGCAGATGTATACAGAAACTTACCCTGACAAGTCCGTCACACTTTCTGTCATATATCTCCCTTTTTAACTCAGAACATGTTTATTGCTGATTGCAGGCTGTAGAGGGCAGTGTATACAAAATATACTTCTCTTTGCATCGCCTTTATAAAAATAGCTAGATCTCAATTAGGAATACAAACAGGACTAGGCTGATAAGAAATAAATATTTTATTATAAAGAATCCTGGAAACAATAAATAGTTTTGATTTGGCTACACAAGGTGTGACCTTATGCTATGAAAATATGTAATACACCCCACACTTTTTTCTTTTTTTGTTGTTGATACCACGTAAAGTATTATGCAGTTTTACAAAAAAGAAATAAGTATGATAAATCATGGTTGTCACTGGTTTTTTCTTTTTCTTACAACAGTGTTAGTTCATTTGTTGATGTCTGTGATCTGGGTATACGAGTGTGTTTGTCTGTACATCATAAAAGAAATGGGACCAGGTTGAACACAGCCTCCCATTGACCTAATATACTGCATGTCCAGAGATTACGACCTAAAACTTCATTACTGTTTTTTAATGTCTAAAGAAAATCAAATAAAACGCACCCATCTAAATGTTCCTTCTCTCTCATTCCTAAGTCTGATTCATTAGTGAAATCTGTTCATTCCAAATGTTCCTCTCTCATATGTCTCATAGGAGTTTGTTTCATTCTAGTGAATCAGGTCATCCCAACCGATCCTCTCTTTCATATGCAGCTTAGTCGGACGGACAATTCATAAATGAACCGATTCACTACAATTCAACAATTTGAGTCCATGTATTACCGTATAGGTTATTGAATCATTTACATACATTAGAATGTTTCTGTTGAATTTATACATTTACATTTTCAAGTTCGATACTGTAAACCTAATCATGATTGTTCACTTATTCAGTGAGTGTATTTCTATACACCATAAAAAATTAGACCATTATGACATTTTCCCATGACTTATATTGTCCCGAGATTCAGTGCCTTTTTTGCTCTCCCCTGAGAATAGTGTTCATGCAGTTAACACATGCATTACTCTTTCTGATCTCAGGTTGGATAGCTTCAGTAAACATACTAACACCTCTTGAGGATTTTAATTATGTAATATCTAGTAAGAGTGTCCTAGATATCTTTTATAATAACTTTGGTAACTTGTGCAAGACTGCAATGCATCTTTCAGAGACTCCTTGTTTTAAGGAGCTTTTTAGTGCTTGCATTTCTTTCCTTCATTCTTTGTTGGGTGTGTATCTGGTTGGCTGTTCAGTAGAGGTAGAATATGAAGACATATGATCCCCAGACTGATGCACACACAGACCAGAGCTGTTCCAATTGAGTTGTTAAAGGTAATAGGTGGAGCAGTGACCAGCAGCTGTGACTGTCTAAGCACCATGTCAGTTCTAAGGGCCTTCATCTGAAAGAGTGTTCCAATTATTCCACATATGTGGAACAGCTGATGGCTGTGGCCTGTAGGGGTCAGAAGAGAGCCATTCACATGAGAAACACTGAATGAAGAAATACTGAAGAAATACCTGTGTGGACCTGTGTTAAAGAGTAATTTTCTTGAAATAAAGCTGCAATATGCAACTTTTTTTGGTTAACAAATAAAGAAAATCAGTTATTGAGCAAGTACATACGACATAAGTGTTCAAAACTGTCTCTAGCCTACCCTGATTCACAACGGTGAGCTTATAAAAATGATTTATAATTTAAGCTGTCGGGTCTGATTTTGCAGGAAATGTCAGTTTGATGCCTTTGTGTGGTTAAGTCACATCCGTTTCAGATATAAACTTGTCATCTAGATGGCTGCTTTTAATAGAAAGGTCTAAACAATAATCATTGTTGACATCTGGTTAATCCTCTGTTGTCAAAACCAGCAAACCGCGTACTGCAGAGAGCCTGCAGTCAAAAAGGGAAAGCGACAGAGCCCGTGCTAAAATGAGAGTAAATTTTGGCATGGTTTTTGACTGGATTGCAACAACCAGGGCTGATCATTCCGACAACTTGCAATTTGATGTTTCAAACAGAGATGGCGATAGAGAAGCAAAAGTTCCATACTGCAGCTTTAAGTATGGTTTCTGAATTTTCTTTGTAAACTTTATAATTTAACATTCACTATAATTCAGATACTGTCTGTATTCTAAAAACCCTCGGTAATCAACTTGTTCACACCCATATGGTCTTCTTAAAAGAGATAATATATGAAATATACACAAATACACAGCACAGATATACGCTGTACAAAATATTTATGTTGTCATCACTTACCTATGTAGTCAAAGCGTCCAGGTGCCAGTCTCTCAGGTAAGTGGGTTGCAAACAGGAAGGCGGTTAGAAATGCAAACAATATATGGGGAACATGAATGGAGTTTGCTTCATTATCAGTGCAACCCTCACCTACACACAGAAACAACTGGAAAGAGGCAACACAAAAAATAATTACAGGTCACACCGTGAAGTGTATACATATTCACTTTAAACTATAAATATGTAACATGCATAAACATCCCTTGCACTGTAGTATGTCTAAAAATATACGTATATATATGAAAAAATGATACGCAGAATTCTGTACTTTAACCGATAAAAAAAGTTTCAGTATGCTGAAACTTACAGTCTGTATACTTGTACTGTGCACAGTGTGCAGAATGCTGAAACTTACCCTGTAGAAGAGAGGAATGTTGTCAAACAGGTAAGGGTAGGCAAAGGCAAGAATTCGAAACACTTTACTCAGCCTTGGGCTCGGTTTCTCCTCAGAGAATCTAGTGAAAGACATATTTTTATGTTCACTAATGCTAACATCAGTTTCAGTGGCAGAGGTGAGGTGTTATGTAATTGTTAGTAGCAGACAGAAGTGGGTGATTGTTCATATCAGAATAACACATAACCACATTATTAACACAATGTGGTGGAAGTGTTTTCCATTGATAATATTATAGAGCATTTGTTTATTGGGTTTGAAGGCATTTAAAGAAAGAGCAGGATTAAGAAAATGGATTAGCGAGCATCAGATAATTCTGACACATTATGTTACCTTTCACCGATGTCATGGTTATAGTGTAGGAATGGTAGGCCAAGCCTTAACAAAAAAGCGGAAAGTAAAATTGTATTAATCTGTGAAGCTGCCATGCTGTATCATGTTTATAACAAGCCTTGTATTCACACACTACTGTGGCACAGACATAATATGTCGTTATTTAAAATGTAGAACATTTTCTTTCATGGTGCTATTTGCGTTAGTGTTGGGGAGTTACTAAAAAGTAGGGTTAACAAAATTTTTCAGTAGCATGATTAAGCTATTTTCATGTTAGTTTAACTTTTTCTATTAACAACTTTATCCAACGAGTACCAATGCATGATAAAGCGCTACATTGCTAATATCTGATCTGAGGAAACAGTAAAACACTCATCTAAATGGTCCTCTGTCCAGGTCAATTCATTTTAGGGAAACAGTCCTCTCTAATATATAGGCTGCATGCAGACATGCATACAGTACTGCATACTGCAGTAGGTGAAAAATATGTGGAAAGAGTAGGATGTCCAAATTCATGTTCCTTAAACAGTAAACAAACAGTACCCGAATGACCTAATACTTCGGGTCGAGATTTTAAAGTGCGCATCCAGTGGATTTTTTACTATCCCATGAGGCCACGGGAGAGGAGTTGTGAAAAGCAGTGAAGCGATGCAACTGATGCTGGTAGGTCACATGATAATGACAGCGTACTTACGAAAAGTACCTGCTCAGAAAGTGAACATTCTTCCGGACGCAGTCATTGCACTTGGAAGTGCAAACAACTCAAATAAATAAACATATTGACAAAAATGGTTCCTAGTCCCTGCACTATATATAAAGTTTTTGAATTGTATATGTAAATTATGTTATACAAATCAAGGTGTTTTTGTAGTATTTAGTATACATTGACCTGTTCAAATTTGATAATGTCACCCTAATTGATGTAATGGTTATTAGAGCTTGTTCCACACCTATACGTAACCCGCAATTATGTAAACTGCATTTCTGTAACCAGTGTAACTTGTGGCGTGTTTGTTAGCAACGAGGAGCCTTACCTGGAGTAACAGGCCATGCTGGTTGATAAGATGGTGTTGAGTAAAGCTACAGGAATGTAGTAGGAATGAAATGTGCTGTTCACCCACGAGTCAGGAAAAACATATGCAGAGTAACTGATCGCTGAACCTGCATCAACATACAATCAGTCACATAAATACATCTCAGTGTGGTGGGGATGATTTGGTAATGACGTGTGAAAATGTGTTTCATTTGTAGTGTGATTCTGTACGATTTTTCTTGTTTATTAATACTCATAAATACTACTTATTAGTTAATAACTTCCAAATAGTACAGTCACAAGTTGTCTGTATTGTACTTACTGTATGTACTGTAAAAAATACAGTATATCATACCAGTTATTGGCTGATATTAGAGATTTCTAAATTGATCTCTATATTTAATTGTGTATTCTCATTTTATCATTTAGATCATTTATCATTTTGCCATCATCTAAAGCTCGCTTAAATTTAAATTGATATATTGAAAATTATATTAAATTATTAGTTTTTAAAGTTTAAATTTAAGTGAGCTTTAGATGATAACCATCTATTTTTCCATACTGTTCATTATAATGTTGTTATTTCGGACATTTATCAATTATTGGCCAAAAATTTAAATAATTATTAGTTTATCTGTGTTGGATGGATTTTTATTATCAGGTCATTCCTGAAAATAATGTACAGAATTGATGTACTTTGTGTAATGTAAATTGTATTTGCGTTAATGTCAGAAATCCATTGTGTCTTTTAAATATATGCAGTGCACAACCTTGAAGTTTGAACTTCGTCTTTATGGCAATATTTCCCGTAACAAGCCAAGGAACTAATAGTGTTTAAGTGAATGTGTCTGTGTGTTCAACTCTTACCGAGACTGTACAGGCTGAGTGCTCCATAGTCAAAGAAGTAACAGATATGGCGAGAGCAGGGAGACATGGTACTGAAGGTGTGGGCACAGCTGGAGGCCAGTGGATACACACAGCAGGAGAACAAGAAGACCAGCAGAGGCCATGTATACTCATTATACCACACATCCTCCATCAACAACACTGTCATCAACTTCCAGAGAAAATACCTGATGGAGAGATGGGATGATGGCAGACAATGATGGCAGACAGCTCTGCAATGCTGCAACTCACAACAAAAAAGTTATACAGTGAAACAATCATTTCCGCTGCGGAAATCAACATTCTACGCATGAGATTTAAAAATATACATTTTCAGTCCTTTGACTTTTTCCTCCCTTTTCCACAGAAAGACTGGACGGACAATTCCTTGCATGGTTTCCACACCAGATAGCTGATATTGAAACTACAGAATCTATATCTTAGCAAGTGAACAAAAGATTAGAGGACAAAGGCCAGTAAGAAGATTGTATTGAAATATTTAACTTGCCCTGACTTGCTCGCAGAGTTTGTTACTAGGGATGTATCTAACAGGTGGATGTAGAAACAAACAGACTTATCAGTTTCTATAGGTCTGTGTTTAATCTCTAAAGAGCACCGGTAAAGCTTGTTTCTAAGCTATACAGTATGTACAGTAAAGATAAGAATTAATACAGATGCCACAGATTCCTTACATTCAGTGTTCCCATGCACCCCGGTCAACTTTTGTCTTGCAGTCATTAGAGATTAAAAATGAATAAATATTGATTGCAGTCACAAAGACGTTTTTTTTTTATGAAAGAATTTTATGGGTTAGCAATGTCAGCCCTGCCCTAAAAAGGTGTCCTAAATATATATATATATTTTTTTTTAAATCTCAGGATTCTTAAGTGATGAATTTCACAGGTCTGGGTTACTCTTGTTTGCTAGAGGGATCAGAGTTTAATATAACCAAACATTAACACGGAGTCAAGTTACAGATTCCAAGTTTTGTCCTATTGATTTACTGTTGGTTGACTGTGTATTTAACCATTGTGTGGGATCAGAGGATGTGTTAGCTTTGAGATATGGCATACTTTAAATAGACGAGTAATGGCAATGTATTTTTGCTATGAACTACATTTACAGTACATTTAATAATTTAGCAGATGCTTTTATTCAAAGCAAGAAAAAGATTTAAAGCAGTTTATCATGCAGGAATTTGCCAATACGGAGTAGTTATTTAAAAAATAATAATTAAACGATCTAATATCTTATTGTATACATGTTTATAAGATATATCATTTTTATTATATAAAAATAATATCATATTCATTATTAAATGTGTTCCATTTATTACATGCCCAAGAAAAAGTTAGCATTTGCATGTCTGTGACTTTTTGTGGAGCATTGGTTAACATGAGGCAGGATTGAGGCATTATGTAATAACTGAAAGATCTCAGTGAATAAGGTTTTGAAGGATCTCAGTTCCGTTTACAGACCTGGATGGAAGTTGTCTGGAAGAATAAGCAATGCAATGACAACAAGCAGACATGTATCTTAAAAAATTCACTTATAACAGCTTATGACAGCCCATTACAGCTAATTTAGTAAATTTCCCAAATGTTTACAACAAAGACACATAGACTGCCACAGGTTAAAGAATCAAAGGTGACAAGCAGCTCTCGACATGTTTACGTCTGGAGAAAGCTCTGGTGAGAATCACGCCGGGAGCTCATTAACAGTGATGGTAAACCTTCTGTGTTCATCCAGCAAGGTGAGCTCTCCTAAGAACGACTCAGCTGGGTTAACTCTCGTGAGGGAAACTACTCAATTCAAACTACTGTCTCAGCACGCCGCACACTGTTGCCATGGAACCCAGGGTTGTGTCACTGTAGTTGTGTAAGTTTATACTATTGTCTCTGAGTTATAAGATAAGTTTTTTTGTAAAAGCCATACTGAGAAAGTGGCAAACAGAGGACGATATGCATAGAGAGAAAGCAAACACGAGAGATAACATACCATGTTGGTAGAAAGTGTGTCCAGACATTGAGGGTCTCATTGGTCAGCTGAAAAAGACTCAACACACAGTCTGTGGCCGAACTACGAGGGTGTCGATATCCAGAGATTATACTGTCCTCATGAAATGCCTACCATGGGGAAAGGGTCACAGAAAAAACTTATTTAGTAAGATAAAGACAAAACAGCTCTTTCTACAGGTAAAATGTCAAGCCAACAAAATAACGCAAAGCATTAATATGAATGATGATGTGTTTGGCTACAGACCTTCAAACTGTTGCACATCAGGTTGCACAGTAATAAAAGAAAATACAAATCCAGTGATTCTTTCCTTCTGTTTATCATTAAAGAATACCTTTAATCTCACAATATCAGTTATGTATTTTGTTAAATGAATGAGCTTACTTTGGGCACCTGGTGGACGGTGAAGACACGCCGTAGTTTGATCAAGCTGAACATGTTTCCCAGACGAATGGTCCTCAGTGCCTGACCCAGGAGAGAGAGGCAGATACAAAAACACACCGGCAGGTACAGAGACAAATGCACATACAGACACTCTTCCACTCCACCTGACCAGAGACTGGCCCGGTTAGCCCTGCCCTTGTCATCACACCTACAGACATCAACCTCTAACACAAACCCACACACATACCTGACACACCGGCTAAGTGAGAACGCTCACAAGAACTATTCAGAAGCGCATTGTTTTAGAATCAGAGAGTTTAACTCCAAACATACACATAATATACACAACAGTCTCGCATAGAAGTTCGTTCAAAGGTTTGGGATCAGTAAGATGTTTTGAAAGAAATGTAGTACTAGTATTTAGGGCACATTAAATAAATCAAAAGTTCTAACAAAAATAATCTATTTTAAATCAACTGTTCATCAAAGAATCCTGGAAAAAAATATGTCACGGTTTCCACAAAAATATAAAGCAACACAACGTTTTTTCACCATTGATAATAAGAAGACGTGTCTGGAGCAGCAAATCAGCATAATAGAATGATTTCTGAAGGATCATGTGACACTGAATACACTGATTACAGGAATAAACAGTTTTTTTTTTATTGTAATAATATTTCTCAATAAATGCAGCATATAAGATCATTTTAAGGACAAATACAAATATTTAACAATTATGTCAACAAAAATCTTATTTTCCCCTTTTCTCTGCAGGTTAAACAGGTTTTGAACTCATGCATAATTGGCACAAAATAACAAAGATTTGCATTATTATATTTCAAACAATGTCACTGGATTGCTCCAGTCTATACATGGAAAACTGAGCTTGTTGTGCTGTTCTGGGACAGGCCCAGCTCATTCAGGGTGGGGTGTTTTAGGCAGTTTCAGTCAGTGCAGGTGAAGGTGTGTAATGAATGGAGGGTGTGAAATAACTTATATTTACAGTGCTAATTATAACATGCTAAAACAGAGCTAATATCACTCTTCTGTCTGTACTAATCCAATGACAATGCAGAACCATTTTTCATTTTTTTGTTTCATTTCCAATCAAGAACACGTATCTTAAGCAAACTGTAATTGTTGGAAAGAAATTTTTTACCTCTTACCTTGGCAGAAGTGAAAAGTAGGCCTATGTTAGTGTGGTAAACTAAAAGGAACTTGGCTTAGAAAGCAGATAAAGAAGAGAGGGGGGGTGGGTCAGTAGCTATCATTAACATCCTATATGTATTTCTATCTTTTGTTGTCTGCTTTTTTTATTTGCTCCATCCCTAGAATAATAACAAATGTTGTCTGCTTTTTTATTTGCTATACCTCCCAAGAATAATAACACAATTACAGAGAATCAAGTGTGATATTTGGTATACTATCAACCATCCTGTCAAACGAGTATGGAAATGTGTTTCCATTTAAAAACATATCAACGAGGGCATGTTGTGATTTTGGTGTGCAGAGTTTGAAATGAAAGGATGGAGGACTGTAAACTGGATGACAGACATTGCACAATATGTTTAAATATCACAGTTAGTGAAGGTGTGGGTGAAGTAGGTTTGGTGGTTATGCAACAGTTAAACGGTAATGCCAAATGTCACCCCATGATGGCAGCATTTTCTCATTTAAAATTATTCATCACATCTCTCGTCAACATTGTGCCAATTCGTATTCCTCTAGTTGTGAAGTTTTGTTTTCGGCTTTGTTCGATTTATGTTTCTTAAATCCTCTCTGAATATCTCCCTGAACTTTCCTCAACCTTGCTCTGCATGAAAGAAATGTAACACAGTACAACTAAAAGTCAGAGAGATAGTATGCTGTAAATACAAATTAAATAAAGTAATATAAAATAAAATAAATACAAGGTCTAAACCCAGATATATAAGGGTAACGTGTGCAAAGAGGTAAGAATTATTGCTCCCTGTTCCACCACTGACGTGAGCTATTATTTTAAGCTCCATTAGCCCTCACTCAAAAATAAAACACACACAGACACACACACACACACACACACACACACACACATATATATATATATATATAACTCTGATTGAACTTGACTCAATCATGGACAGTGGTTCCACATGAAACCGATATTATCTCCACTCAAATACTTCATGTGGGATGAACTAAACAGCTAAACTGAACAGTTTAAATGAAGTGAACAGCATCATTAGTAATTAAATAAGTCTCTTTCTATATTCTCCAAAGAAGAATATAGACTGGTAGGAGCAGAACTGAATGTTTACTGATATGACGTCAGTAATGCTATGATATTTTGTTTTTTAAGAATGTTGCAATTTAATGTTATAAGACTGTCGTACTTAATACTGGGTACTAACCCTGAACCTACACTTAAACCTTGACTTAGCCCATGCATGTAGTTGTTTACACTACTATACTTTTGTGGGTAATACACTGTAAGTACATTGAAAGTGCATGTACTGTAAAATAAAGTGCAACCAGTCTAGATTGAACCCATCAGGAGTTCATCTTTTAAGAAGTGGGTTGCACATGAATCAAGATGCAAAAGGCTATTTAAGAAACATATCCGCCATAACACTGGCACTTGTCCAGTCTTCCTAGATTACCAGAGAAGGACATTTGCTTTATCACTGCAGCAGCTCTCCCATTACCCCTCTCTCTCTATTCAGCTCAAACACTTTTCTTCTGCTTCATTAAGTGTGTCTGTGTGTGTGTGTTTGTGTGTGTATCGTCTGGAGGGCAAACATGAGATGATGTTTGTGGGAGTAAGCAGGGCTATGTGTGTGTGTGTGTGTGTGTGTGTGTCCTTGCTTGCTGCATAATTAAACATCAGCAGCAGCAGCGGTGTGGAGGCCAGATGCAGACCGAATCAAACAGTGCGGCAGAGGGCACGGCCTATACGACCCCTCAGACTGGCACAATATGCAAGCGTCAACTCCTGCCTCCACATCTGTCTGTCTCGCTGTGCAGCAGGGATATTTCTGTCGCCTCGGACACAGTAATTGAACCAAGGGTAAAATATATTTGAACATCTCAGATGAGAAGAGTCTGAACTCTGCATAGCTGAGGTATTAGGTCATAAATGGGAAATGACACAAGCGTGTGTGGGAATCTCTCACAGACACAAAGCACACATCACTCACTGTGTCCCGTTACAATGGCAAACCAAGCAGACATCGGGGAGGCAGACATGAGCTGAATGTAATGAAACACTCAAGAATAAACTGATATTTGACAGCTCGGTGTTAGTCTGGCAATTGTTTTTCCTGTGCATTGCAGGTTTGGGTGAGCGAGTGTTTCTCTGAACAAGTGGAGTTTTAAAAAGACACTTCAAGGCAAGACACCACAGGTAAAAACAACAACAACCCCCCCCCCCAAAAAAACTAATAGACAGTCGATTAACCACCACAGAACATTAAGATAATTGTTTTGAATTAGACATTTGAATTTTATTGAACTATTGTGGTTAAATAAGCAAATGAGTCATATGCACTAATGTGCATAACTTTCCAGAAGTTATATAAATTATGAACATTGAATTAAGACACTTTCTTCAAATTTTTTTTTTTTTCATTTAGTTAACATATCAGAGTTAAAGGTTTTTACAGAGAGGATTTTTGATTTCTCTTTTTTTATCACCCCATACATTGGAATTATAAAGCCAGAAAAAAAAAACATCATGTTGTTATTAATAAATAAATCAGGCGAATGATATATGAAAAAAAAAAATCACTCTGTAAAAACCTTCAGAATAGATGAGAATAAAACTGGAAAGTCTGGTGTAAGTGCTACTGAAGTGGAGAATTCTGGCTCAGTGCAAATATACCAAAATGTATTTGAAATACATTTATTTTATGCTAAGTATGCTACAAATATATGTACATATTTATGTACTTAATATAAATACCCTCTAATTGTACTGAATTGATATACTTAAAGTCTGCTAAATTGGAACACCTAATTCTGTACTTAATGCACTTTAGTTATCTGGAAATAGTGCTGAGGTCCAACTAAAGATATACTGAAGTATATTTGATCGTGCTAAAGTGGAACTATTTGAAATATACTTTAAAAATCTTGCATTTAAAGACTGATATTATACAGAGATCATACTATCCTTACTGGTAGTGATATTAAAACACATTTTAGGCTTAATATTAAGAAATGTGCAATAAATAAGCACTCTAAATAAAGTTTAATTATAATATTTATGTCAGTGTCAAGCGATATGTCAGTAAATGTGTTGGTAACACTTTACAATAAGGTACATTAGTTAACTACATTAGTTAACATTAACTAAGAATGCTTCTTCAGCATTTGTTAATCTTTGTTAATGTTAATTTCAACATTTACTAATACTTTATTAAAATCTTGTAAACATTAGTTAATGCACTGTGAACTAACATGAACTAACAATGAACAGCTGTATTTGTATTAACTAACGTTAACAAAGATTAACAAAAACAGTAACAAATGTATTGCTCATGGTTAGTTCATGTTAGTTGGAATTGCAAGATGGCCGCCAGGGTGCAGCCACATGGTTTGGCAGGTCCTGTTTGTTTGCCACAAAAGTACATCAAAAACCCTTGGATTTTGCTATGTTTGTCTGGTCTTCTCCTGTCCTTTTACCTCCTCTTGAGTTTAACATGTCCAAGGAAAATGGATAACTTAACTCTCTATCCAGCAAAGAGGAGCCAACATCTTTTGTATGCAAGAATCCTGGATTGTGGACATGCTAGACCGCCCAGGTAAACTTGATCAAACAGCATCTAGATCTAGATCATTCCCTGGGGTTGTGAATCTTCTGATGATACTACTTCTGGCTGGTGATGTTGAGCAAAATCCTGGTCCTGTTTTAAGTCCTGTGTCACAACTACAGCTGTTTTCTTGGCTAACACCACCTTTGCTACCAGGGCTACAGCAGTTCTTTGTGCTAACACCATCACAGCTACCTGGATTACACCAGCTACCTGGATTACACCAGCTCCCTGGGTTAATACCATCTCTGCTACCTGGGTTACAGCAGATACCTGGGCCAATACCTTCTTTTCTACCTGGGTTGCAGCAGCTACCTGGGCTAATACCACCATTGCTACCTGGGTTACAGCACTTCCCTGGGCAAA